CTCTCTTTGGAAGTCAGGCCCTGGGCTACGGGGGTGGCCCTGCAGCTTTGCAGACCCCTGGATGCAGATCTTGGCCAAAGACTGCGGGGCTTGCTCAGAATGGTGGTCAGAGGGCCCCTCGGGAGCTGTGGCCCATGTCAGAGGGAAGGACAGTGGGGACACCCCCATGGGACTCTCTGAGGGGCCAGGGGCCCCTTTGCTCTTAGTGTTCCCCATCCCTGTGCCAATGCAGGCCCCAGGGGACACAGGTTGAGCCTGAACTGGAGAGAGGGAGGCAAGCACCAAGAGGAACAAGAATTGAGGTTCTGAGCTGCAAAGAACCAGAGACCTCAAGACCTGCTGCCCTGCAGTGGAGGGACAAGGTAGCACCCATCACGGCCCCACCTGGTTGAGAAGGTCCAATGCATCCACAGGTGCCAGCCACTGAGTACCAGCCTCTGAATGCCAGCCATGAAGCATACAGGCGACATGGAGCAGAGTCTACATCCACACCCAGGTAGGACTGTCTGGGCTTTAGGTCATTTTGGATGCCTTCTTCATGGACTGGTAGGGAATAAACAAATTACAGTACAGCCACACAATACAATAGTACTAGGTAATATATAGAATGTAATAAAAAGGGAAAGAATTACTGATGCATGACAAAACATGGGTGAATTCTCAAAAATAGTAAGCTCAGGGGAAGGAGCCAGGCACAAAACCACCTTCTGTAGGATTTCACTTAATGAAACAGAGGTCCAGTGCACGAAAATTCATGCACTGGGTGAGGGGGCGGGTGGAGAGGTCCCTCAGCCCAGCCTGCACCCTCTGGCAGCCTGGAAGCCCTCGAGGGATATCCACCTGCTGGCGTAGGCCCACTCCCCAAGGGACCAGGCCTAAGCTGGCAGTCAGACATCCCTCTGGTAGCCTGGGAGCCCTTGGGGGATGTCTGCCTAACAGCTTAGTGCTTCCACAGAGGCGGGAGAGGCTCCCTCCACAGCTGCTGCGCTGGCCAGCCATGAACCAGCTTCTGGCTGAGCAGCACTCCCCCTGGGAAAGCGCACTGACCACCAGGGGACAGCTCCTGCATTGAGCGTTTGTCCCCTAATGGTTAGTGCTTGTCATAGCAATCAGTCGATATAATGGTCTGCAGCTCAGAGGTCCCTGTGCTACAGAGATTTGCGACCCACCAGGTGATCTGTGATAGACCAAGAGAGTGGGTGAGGCTACCTAGGGAGAGTGTGCAGAGCAAGGGGCACAAAAGGGGAGGGTGCAGCCCTGCAGAACCCCAGAACTGACAGGGCCACCTCAGGAACCAGACTGCAAAAAGACCCGCAGAGCAAAGAAAGAAAGCTCTGGCTGGTTTTGCTCAGTGGGTAGAGCGTCAGCCCTCAGACTAAAGAGTCCTGGCTTCTATTCCGGTCAACAGCATGTACTTTAGTTGCAGGCTTGATCTTTGGTCCTGTCAGAGCATGCGCAGGAGGCAACACAATCTCCTGGAGGGAGAACTGATGTAAGCTGGCCTACCCCCCTCCCCATCTCCCCCTGCCCACTGTATTCACTCAGGCTATCCTTGGGTCCTCAGAACCTGACTCCACCAGGATTCAAGACCTCCCCCTAGGGTATTAGCAGAACCAAGGAAGCTCTGGCCACATTAAGGTCTGGGCCAAAGGGGGCGACGGGAATAGAGAAATAAGAAGAAATCACAATGGACAAAGAACTCTGGGAAGTGGGGGCATGTATGGGAGGGGGGGGGGGGGCAATGGTAAGATAAGTACACATATAATACCTTAATAAAAAATGGGGGGTTGGGAGGAGAAATCAGATGAAAGGTGGCAGAGTAGAAGGGCAGACAGGGAGAGGAGCTGGAGTAAATAACTGGCTGGAAGGAGCCTTGGAGATGAAAGAGACTTTGAAGCTTAAACTCCTTTGGCTTTTATAGCAATTCCTCCTCTGACCACACGGAAGAGGGGAAAGTACTTCTAAACTGGGCCAGCAGCACCCTCTAGTGGACACTGGGAGGAAAGCCTCAAAGGGCCCAGAACCTCCCGGACACACCCACCTGCACGCACATCCTGAAGCCTGGCAGGTCCATTGGGCCATCAGCTTCCAGGAATTTCTCCTCAGCCTGCACCCCACTCTCCCGACCCCAGAGTGCATCATCATGGTGAGAGGGTCAGAGATGAGCATCTTCATGTACAGTTAGTCATAGTTCGATTTGAAGCAACAGTTAGTCACAGTTCGATTTGAAGCAAGGAACTACCCTCTGAGCTTCAATTTCCTTTTCTGCAAGATGTACCTTAGTGTCACTTCAGAGAGTGGTTCGAATGAGTTCGTAAGGTGACGCATAGAAGAGCTTTAGACAAAGGGCGTTTTGATATGTAAGTTATTTTTCCAGGAGAAGGTATAGTCAGAGACTTATTTTTCTTTTCTTTTTCTTTTTTTAATATATTTTATTGATTTTCTACAGAGAGGAAGAAAGAGGGATAAAGAGCTAGAAACATCAATGAGAGAGAAACATCGACCAGCCGCCTCTTGCACACCTCCTACTGGGGATGTGCCCGCAACCAAGGTACATGCCCTTGACCGGAATCGAACCTGGGACCTTTCAGTCCGCAAGCCGACACTCTATCCACTGAGCAAACCGATTTTGGCAACAGTAACTTATTTTTCCATGTCTGAATCAGCTCTTCTGGAGAAATCACCTTTCCTCGGCACTCAAGGCCCCAGTTCCACTGTGTGGGGTAGAGAGGGTATGTGTGATGCGCTCCTCGCCCCTCTCTGCAGACCCCCAAAGAGTGAGGAGGGAGTGTAGTCACCTCCAGAGTCCCCGCATCTCCTTGCCTCGTGGGCCATCCCAGCTTTCTAAACCGTCAGAGCAAGCGAACGAATGACTGGAGGGGGTCGCTATGCAGATACCCAATGAACAAAGCTAAGGGAGCTGTTTTGTTTTCTTTTTTCCTCTCAATCGGTGTCAAGTTCCGATTGAGAGAAAGTTCCCAAGAATAGCACAGACTTCTCATGCGCCCTTCACCCAAACCCCTGACCCGTGCGGAATCCCTCCTGTGCTTGCCCTTCTCTCTCCAGAGGTGAGTGAGTGCGTGGTGCCTTTTGGGTCTTTGGGGTACGCTGCAGACACGATGCTCTTTGCTCCCAAATCTTCAATACATATTTCCTCAAAACAAGGTCATTCTCTTACACAACTGCAGACCTATGACCAGAATCAGACAATTATACGAAATGCAATACGACTGCCTACTACATGGACCTTAGATTTCACCAATTGTCCCAATGATGTCATATAGACAAAAGAAAATCTGGAACCATGCATCCAGCTGTTATGTCTTTTTGGTCTTCGTTAATCTGCCAACAGTTCCCCAGTGTGTGTGTGTGTGTGTCTGTGTGTGTATACACATGACACTCACAATGTCCATGCACATGTGGTGACATTTTTAAAGACTTTTTAGCCCTGACCGGTTTGGCTCAGTGGATAGAACATTGGCCTGTGGACTGAAAGGTCCCAGGTTCGATTCCTGGTCAGGGCACTTGCCTGAGTTGCAGGTGGGTCCCCAGTGAGGGGCATGGAGGAAGCAGCCGATCAATGATTTTCTCTCGTCATTGTTGTTTCTATCTCTCTCTCTCCCTCTTCCTTCCTCTCTGAAGTCAATAAAAATATATTTTAATAAAAATTAAAAATAAAGACTTTTTAAAGAGTCATTTTAAGCCCGGCCAGCGTGGCTCAGTGATTGAGCATCAACTCATGAACCAGGAGGTCACAGTTCAATTCCCGGCCAGAGCACATGCCCAGGTTGTGGGCTCAGTCCCCAGTGTGGGGCGTGCAGGAGGCAGCCGATCAAAGATTCTCTCTCATCATTGATGTTTCTCTCTCTCTCCCTTCCTCTCTGAAATATATATATATATATAATTTTTTTAAAGAGTCATTTTAAGCTGGCAACAAACTTGAGAGGGAGCTACAGAGATTTCCCAGACACCTACTGGCAGTGACATTTTTTAAAAGTCATATTGTAGAGTGGCCTTCGTTTCGGATTTGTCCGATGTCTTCTCATAATTAGATTTGGGTTATGCATCTTTGGTAAGAATACCAAAAGTGTGTAGTGTCGTCACTTCACTGTGTGACCGTGGATATAACACTTACCCTTTCTGAAAGTCACTCTCCTCATCTGAAAAGTCAATAGGACGAGACCAACCAGGTACCAAGAAGACAATATAACGTGAATCTCAAAAGCTACCCAGCAAAGGACTTGGTGTCCGTGAGCATGCTCTTCAGTTTGCTGGGGAGCATCGAACAGTACCAAGTGTGTCCACCATATGGATTCCTCTTACTCTAGACTTTACCAGGAGATGGCAGCTTTGAGAAGAGTTTGAAAGAGTAAAATCCAGAGGTTATTAAAGTTATTTTGGGAAGCAGGGATAGCAGCACCGGGAGCAAGTGCGCTGCTGAGACTGGCGAGTGGCTGGCAGTACCCGCTGTGGGCCGGCGGCCCGGCGACTCTCGGCCTGACCCTGGTGGCCGCCCCCTAGAGCGGCGGGTCCCCATGGCGTCTGTGGGGTGCACTGTGCCTGCAGTGGCCACCTGTGGTCTCCAAGGCGCTGTTCCCTTTGCACGAGGAGATGGCGGCTCTGCTCCAGCAGATGGAGATAGAGAGAAGCCAGTATTCAGGCCACGAGCTTCGTGCTTTGGATGAAGCCCAGCGCCTGGCAAAGAGGAAAGCCAACCTCGATGATGATGAAGACGAACAGAATATATTGCTGGTACAGGATTTGGAAGAAATGTGGGAGCAGAAATTCCTGCAGTTCAAACTTGCAGCTCGCATAACAGAAGCCGATGAAAAGAACACCGGACCTCACTGCACCGGAAGCTAGACAGGAACCTTGTTCTGTTGGTCAAAGAGAAGTTTGGAGACCAGGATGTTTAGGTACCGCCCCAGGCAGATTGGCAGCCGGAGGAGACCCTCCAAGCAACGGCTGAGAGAACCCTGGCCACGCTGGCAGAACACAACATGAAAGCCAAGTTCCTGGGAAATGCACCCTGTGGCCCCTACAAGTTCAAGTTCCCCCAGACAGTGCGGACAGAAAGTAGCCTCGGGGCCAAAGTATTCTTCAAAGCACTACTCTTAACAGGAGACTTTTCCCAGGCTGAGAAGAAGGGCCGGCGCATGTGGGTCAGCGAGGAGGAGCTGGGGGACTATTTGCAACCCAAATACCTGGCCCAGGTGAGGAGGTTCCTGCTGGACCTCTGATGGACTCGCTGCCTGTGGACGATGCTCAGACAAGTCTGCAACTGGGGTCTCAAGAACGTTTTGTGGCTGCCTCGTCTTTGCAGGGAATCTCAAGAAGCAAACAATTCTGAGAAAGAAATGAGTTGATCATTGTGGGGGAAAAAAATCAAGTTATTTGGGGAGGTACGGGTGAAAGATAAACCTTAATTAGTCATCTCATAGGTAGGACATATGGAGAGGAGGAAGAGAGATGGAAGCCCCCCCCCCCAGATCAGACACAGAATGGAACTCAGGAAGCCAAGGGCACAAAAAAAAATACACAAGTCCCTTCAACCACTTTGAAAAGCAACTTGGCAAGATCCAGTAAAGGTAAAGAAGTACCCTAAGATATAGTGTTTCCACTTCTACAGGAATTCTCACACAGTTGCACAGGGACTTCAACACAATTGAATACAATGTTAATGCCTATATTGATAAAAATGAATAAATAAAATGTAATACATCTCCACCATAGAACACTGTACCACTGTGAAGATAAATTATCATGGCAATGACACAAGCGTCCTGCCCCTGGCCTCTCCGTGCCTATGTATGCAAATTAACCTGCTATCTTTGTTGGTTTGGTTTGCATACTCATTCCTGATTGGCTAGTGGGCATCACAAAGGTACAGTCAATTTGCATCTTTCTCTTTCATTAGTATAGATTTTTTTTTTTTATTGATTCAGAGAAGAAAGGAGAGGGAGAGATAGGAATAGCAATGATGAGAGGAAATCATTGATTGCCTCCTGCACGCCCCCTACTGGGAATCGAGCCTGCAACCCAGGCATATGCCTTTGATTGGAATTGAACCAGGGACCCTTCTGTTTGTAGGCCAATGCTCTATTCACTGAGCCAAACCAGCTAGGGCCTGGGTGACTTCTTGAGTTTCTTTTATCTTTCATGTCTCTCCTTAGCAGGCTTAATATTTCCTCTACCTTCCTGACCATATAGAATGTAATTACTGTTTTTGAACAGCCCTGTCTACTAATTCTATCATCTCTATCTTTTCTGGTTCTGCTTCTATTGGTTGATTTTTCTCCTCATTACGGGTCATATATTCTTGATTCTTTGTATGCCTGCTCACTTTTGTTGTTAATCCTCACTGGAGGATATTTTTTCCATTGATTTATTAGAGAGAGTGGAAAGGAGGGAGGGGTCGAGGGGAGAGCAATGTGAGAGAGACACATTGATTGGTTGCCTCCCACACATGCCCCAATCTGTGCTGGGGATCAAACCTGCTACCCTTTGGTGCATAGGTTGATGCTCTAACCACTGAGCACACCAGGTAGGCCGTACCTGGTAATTTTTGTTGTTGTCGTTGTTGTTGTTGTCATTTTTATTGAATGCCAGATATTGTGAGTGTCACCATTTTGGGCTCTGGGTATGTTGTATTTCTGTAGATAGTCTTGCACTTTGGTGCAATTAAGCTACTTGGAGACGGTTCAGTCCTTCCAAGGCTTGAGTTTAAGCTGTGAGGCGGACCAGAGCAGCCTTTATCCCAGGGTGAAGGGTCCCTACCACTGAGTGTTTTAGCAAATACCCCTGGGTGACCAGGTGTTTCCCTTGTGGCTGATGGGAACCCGAAAGCTTCTCAGCCCTATAGAGATTATGCCCTCTAATCCTCTGAGCCGTTCTTCCAGGGCCTTAGCTAGTTTCCTTGCACACATCACTGATCTGTCCTCAGCTGAACACTCAGGGGGACCCTCTACTGAGGTCCCCAGCTCTCTCAGCCTGCGAGTCCCAGCCACCTGGACCTCCCAATCCCCCAGCTTCCTCTCAACTCAAGGAGACCACGTGGCTCCCCGGGGCTCACCCTTCCCTACACTGTAGTCTGGAAACCCCAGGCAGTGAGCTGAGACCATCATGGGGTTGCTCTCTGGATTTCAGAGGTCACTGTCCCTCTGAGGTCACAGCACTTACTTTGAATAACAGTGCTGCTACAGTGCAATACAACATAGCACCTCATGCTGCTCAGAGATGGCAGATTGCACCTGCCAGGTGCAGGGCACGGCTGGGTAAGTGCTTTTCTTACCTTATTTCCATTTTGAGGAGAGAGGCGCTGGGGCCAGAGATGTCTAGTTACTTGCTCAAGACCACACAGCTAGGAAGTTAGCAGAGTTCAACTTTGATCTAGGAAGTCAGGCTCCTGAGTTAATGCCCCTAACCAGTAGGCCACACTGTCTGCCATGAATATATGTCTGGGACAGGAGGGACTAATATACTAATTTCATTTCCTCTGAGATCAGAGAGAGGAACTATGGGTGCTGGGATAGAGATGAGGCTATATATATATATATGTTTGTTTTTTCAAAAACTGAAGCCGTGCTAAGTAGAATAATGTTAACATTTGTTCAGTCTGGTAAGTGGGCACATCGATATTCGTATTTTGAAATACATTACAATTCGAAAGTATTTTCCTGTGGTTAGAAAGGAAAAAGAGGAGGAGAAATAGTCACCACCATAGGCAGCGGGAGAGAGAGGCAGGCAGGTCAGAAGGTGGAGGCTGGCCCCAGGCCTTCCACACTAAGTACAACCTCCTCCCTACTCCCCCTCCATGTGGCCCAACTCCCCCGCCACGCCCAGGAACTGACCCCCAGGGGAGGTGACCTAGCCCTAAGCCTCCCTTCATCCGGTTTCTCCCACCAGAATGTTCCCCTTCACCTCACCCCGCAGGCAGGGACCAGCTCCAAGGCTTCCTCTTTCCTCTTTCCTGCGGCCCGGGGACCAGGGAGTCCCTCTGGGCCCCAAACAGCAGAGGAGCAACCAGCCAGGTCACCCAGGAGGAAAAGGGAGTCTTGACCCAGGCCCTGAGCCTCTGCGGGAGGCACGGCTGTGGGCAGCCCCAGGTTCGCAGCTGCCCGGCGTGGGTGAGAGGCACAAAGGACCTCTGGCCTCCACCTGAAGTTTTAAAGCGGCCCAGGAACGCTGGGGCAGAGGTATGCGAGGCCCACGGCTGCAGCCACGTGCCCACTCCTGAATTTGGGCAGTGGGGTCCGCAAAGGCGCTGCCAGGTGGACTGAGCAAACCAAACCCACATGCCGTCTCTCACCCTCCCAGGCAGTTTTCGCCTCCTGAGTCCCAAGAAAAAAATGATCGGTCCCAGTCTTCCTTCAACAGCACTGTGGACAGAAAAGGGGCCACGTGCTAACCCGACAAGCTCAGGGAAGGCCTGCACCCGGGTCCTGCAAACTCAGAGACCCGAAGTAATTAAAACTTGAACTAAAAGCAGTTACTGGCGGGCGGTCAGTTTGAGGCCAGTATCTTCCCTGACAAAGGTGAACCTTCACCTTAATTGAGCCTATCGTCTGTTTGCATCTACATTATCATTGAAATGTCAGGGTAACTTCCCTTTTTCCAGACCCCTGGGGCACAACCGAATGCCCGGGGCGCCAGGATGGGCACCACACCTTCCTTCATTGTTATGGTAATCCTGTTGATTGACTGTTAACTATCCTGTACTCACTTAATAAAAGACGTTTGTGTCAATCATTTTACTTTTTACCCAGAGGCATCCTCCTCCCCATCCCCATCCCCTAACCCCCCCTCATCCTCACTCCCGCTTTGCTTTCTCCTGCCTCCCAAATCTATCACCAATGGATTTCATGTAACCCCCTTGCGTCTCCTCCTTGGGTTGTAATATAGAAAACAAGACGAAAAGCTGCCATTCTCCAGGGCATTATCCCAATACTTGAGAGATCCTGCTTCCCGGTCCATATCGACAGTTTGGCTCAAATAAACTCTCAAAAATTCTTTATATCATTGAAATGTTTCTATGTTAACAGCATCTAACAAATGGAGTCACTGAAAACCTACCATGGGCCAGGGGGACAAAGACAGCTTAGATCCCATCTTTGAGGAACAGGAATGTGAGGTACGCAGGAGAATTGTGGCAATGCAACCTGGGAAGTCAGGAGCTGAAGCATGTTGTCAAGTCCGTGGGACCCCGGAGGATGGCTTGGAGAGGGGGCATGTGAGCTACATCCTGAGGAATAATAGGAAGTTTCTGGGTGCAGAGTTGGTAAAAGTGGGGGATGGAATGTGGGGGGCCACTGCCCACAAGGAGATGCGTGCCCAGTGGCATGTTTGCATGACGGTGCACTGCATGCTTAGGGGGTGGGGAGGAGGTCACCGTGTCAGGGATGTGAAGAATCAAGGATGGAGAGGAATTTGAGGCAGATTAAGAGAGTTCTTGACTTTTCATTGTAAAGGGTTTTCTCTTTGTGGTACAGGCAACAGAAAGTTGCTCAAATTTCATTAGCTGAGCCCTAGCTGGTTTGGCTCAGTGGACAGAGTGTCGGCCTGCAGACTGAAAGGTCCCAGGTTCGATTCCAGTCAAGGGCATGTACCTTGATTGTGGACATATCCCCAGTAGGAGATGTGCAGGAGGCAGCTGATCGATGTTTCTCTCTTATCGATGTTTCTAACTCTCTATCCCTCTCCCTTCCTCTCTGTAAAAAAATCAATAAAATATTAAAAAAAAAAAAAAAAGAAGAAGAAGAAGAAGAAAAAGAAACAAAGAAAGCATGATGGGCTATTCCATAGAGACTATTTTTCCACTGAGGCTCAGAGGAAGGTCTTGTATCTCTTCCAGGAGCTAGCTATGACCTCCTGAACCCCCCGCCCACACACACACACCCCTTCCTGGCTGAGCTAGCCCACAGTTCTCTTCTCACCAGCAAAGCCTCCTCTGGTCACTATTTTAAAGAACACCCCTTCCCACCTCCACCGCCTCCTGGCATTTTCCTCCACCTTTGACCATCACCTAACAGGGTATCTATTTACTTTCTGCCTCTCAAACCAACAAGACTAGAAGCTCCAGTGGGACAGAGACTCTCCATTTTGTTCACTGTCTTATTCTCAACGCCTAGGGCAGTGCCTCGTGTACGTTGTGTTTTCAACAAATATTTGTTAAATGAATGGATGAGTGCACATGCAGCGGTACAAGACCAGGAGCGAGTGAATGGAAAGAGTAGGATGAAGA